GTCGAAAAGAAATTAAGGTTTTTGATGAAAACAATCCAGGATTTTCTCCATATAATGGACTTCAATGGGGACCAAACGGTTCAAGGTCCAAAAGACAGTTTCAGTGCAAACTGTTCAGAGGGCTTTAAACGACACCAGACGATGAATAAGTGTCTTATCAAGCAAAACGATCGCTGATTAAAAAAAAAAATATATATATATATATAACAAAGTTTAGGTTTTATAAGCACAAACGCTCGCCTTGCTCTGTTCTGTGATGCGCGTTCGTGACTCGTTTATCAAAATGAACAAATCTTTTTCCCAGTCATTTGGTTCATTCAACGAACGAAACGAACGAGTTAACTCGGAAAAAGATTCGTTCATTTTGATAAACGAGTTCGAACAGGAGAGTCACGAACGCGCATCACAGAACAGAGCAAGGCGAGCGTTTGTGCTTATAAAACTTAAACTTTGTTATATCTTTTTTTTTTAAATGAGCGATCGTTTCGCTAGATAAGACCCTTATTCATCGTCTGGTGTCGTTTAAAGCTCTTTGAACAGTTTGCAGTTTGTACTGAAAATGTCTTTTGGACCTTGGACCGTTTGGACCCCATTGAAGTCCATTATATGGAGAAAATCCTGGAATGTTTTCATCAAAAACCTTAATTTCTTTTCGACTGAAGAAAGAAAGACATGGACATCTTGGATGACATGGGGGTGAGTAAATTATCAGCAAAAGTTTTTTTTCAAAAGTGAACTACTCCTTTAAGTGCCTATCTTTGTTATGAATGTGGGTCTGATTATTTAAACATAAGACGCAGAACTTACAGGAGAAGAATATTTAAATGAATCATGCAAGGTGATTTCCTAAGGTTTGCGAGAGTCAATTTACTAGCGTTTGCCCAATTATTTTAATCCAGACGCTGATGTGCGCTGCTCTTGATAGATTGTGTTGGTCATTAATGGAAATGATTCGGCTGCGTCTGTGATCATTAATCTGGGTAAATGAACTTTTCTGAACGTTCCACTCCCATCAGCGCTTCTTTGGGGTTGCGTTCTCGTGCTAACTTGCCCTGTTTAGTGAATCTGGCCCAAAGACTGTGCAAATGAATGACATCATATTCTGATTAATTGCATGCAATTAATTGAATTTATCAGCACTTGATAAGAAAAGCCCTGCACACTCTCAGAAAAAAAAAGGTACAAAAGCTGTCACTGGGGCTGTACCTTTTCAAAAGGTACACTTTTGTACCCAAAGGCTGCATATTGGTACCTTAGTGGTACATATCAGCGCCTAAAATGTACATATTAGCACCTGAAATGAACATATTAGTACCTAAAATGTACATATTACCATTTAAAATGGACATTTTAGCTCATGAAATGGACATATTAGCACCTAAAATTGACATATTAGCTCATGAAATTGACATTAGAACCTAAAATGTACATCTTAGCACCTAAAATGTACATATTAACACTTAAAATGTACATATTAGCACCTGAAATGTACATGTTAACACTTAAATGTACTTATTAGCACATAAAATGTGCATTTTAACACTTAAAACGTACTTATTAGCTCATGAAATGGACAAAAGTTTACCTTTTGAAAAGGTACAGCACCAGTGACAGCTTTTGTACCTTTTTTTGAGAGTGCGGAGTGGATAATTCCTCCACTGATACATGTACATTACATTATTGTGGAATATGTGTTTTCTTATCATTGAACACACTATCACTGCCCTACAGTCATTTCACAATCAAGTTTTGCAATCTGCTCTTTTATTTCATCAATCCTATTTGTATGTTTTTTTCAGTGTTATTCATTTATAAGTTATTGTGATGTCTTGATAGCCTATTATGAAATATTTGATGTTTAACTATGTGATAAAAAAATGATGATGGCCCCTTTAGGTCACACACAACACAAACACACTCCCTTCTTACCCCCTTAAAGCTGGAGAGGTGCTGCTGAGGTTCAGTGTGTTCTCGCTCACACTGTTCACATTCAACCACTGAAGAATGACTTGAGCAAACAGACACAGTGCGTGTGCATTCAGAGACAACACTGGCCATGGACTACACAGACAGGGAGAGAGTCGGAACAGAGAAGAGAGAAAGGGCGGCAGTCACATATGCGTGCTTATCTTGATTCGGTGTAAGAAAAAGAAAACCATAAAAAGCCAAGAAAATACAGAGAAGGGTGGTGGACAGATAACAGCGATGATAAAGTGAACTTCAGTATTTTTTTGGATGACATCAGCAAAACTCAATATATTTCATCAGAGTCTGAGGGGAAATGAGAAAGGGAACAATAAATAGTTTAACCAAAATTGACAATTCTGTTATTTACACATCCTAATGTCATTCAAAACCTGTGTCCTTTGATTTCTACCGTGGAAGAACACGAATGAAGAAATGTTCAAGAAAGTTCACTCAACTCCATGCAATAAAAATGAATAGAAACTAGGGGTCAGTTAAACCCCCAATTCTATTTTTTTATTTTAAAGCATTATATCAGAAAATGAGTCTATTTGACTAATATTCCAAGTCTTCTGAAGTTTAAGATAACTTTGTGGGAAACTGACTAAAATTTAAACATTTATTCATGTTAATTCAATGAAAATCTCCTTTGTGAATGCGAATCTTCAAAATCAACGTGTCATGATCAGTTACGAGACATTAGTAAGACCGGCCAGGGCTAACAACGTACCGGGCCAATAGCCTCGCAACTCGAGAACCACGAGTACATATCAAGCTGTGTTTCCACTGTCATGCCAGCAGTCCCAGTAACCGCTTTCACACACCTCCATAGAGCGACGTCACACAACCCCACTATTTCACCAGCGCGGGGAAGCTAGCTGACTGAAAACTAACTAGATCGCAAAAAAAAAATAAATAAATAAATAAATAACATGACATTTGGTCATTACTTCTCTTAAAGGGTCATTCCACCTCTGGAAAGATGAATGTGTATTTAAAATGGGTCATTTATGTAGAAGAAATTTTGAATTTGGAGCTTTCTAGACTGAGAAAAGCCAGAAAATGTATTTTTGGCTTATGTGGATGAAAGACAACAACTCCCAGAATGCACTTGCTTCGCTGCCCTAGGAGGCCACGCCTACCGGTAACAGAGCGCAGTAGTTAAACAACAAGTCTAGGCTACTAGTGAGACTCCATGATGAGGCTGCCCGAAAATGTGTTTTGAGATCACCCAAAATTCGCCATTTGCCTTGAATCGCTCATTTAAAAAAAAAAAAAAAAAGTTTAAGTTTTATGAGCTCAAATGCTCGCCTTTCTCTGTTCTGTAATGTGCGTTCGTGACTCTCCTGTTCGAACTCGTTTATCAAAATGAACGAATCTTTTTCCGAGTCATTTGGTTCATTCAACGAACAAAATGAACGAATTGACTCGGAAAAAGATTCATTCATTTTGATGAACGAGTTCGAACAGGAGAGTCACGAACGCGCATCACAGAACAGAGCAAGACGAGCATTTGTGCTTATAAAACTTAAACTTTGTTTTTTTTTTTTTAATTAGTCTTTTTCTTCTTTTTTTTTAATTTTAAAATTTTTTTTATTACATTTTTTTTTTTTTTTTTTTTTCGCTTGATAAGACCCTTATTCATCGTCTGGAATCGTTTAAAGCCCTTTGAACAGTTTGCACTGAAACTCTCATTTGGACCTTGAACCGTTTGGTTCCCATTGAAGTCCATTATATGGAGAAAAATCCTGGAATGTTGGAATTAATTTATTTTCGACTGAAGAAAGAAAGACATGGACATCTTGGATGACATGGGGGTGAGTAAATTATCAGCAAAAGTTTTTTTTAAAAGTGAACTACTCATTTAAATACTGCATATAGACTGCAGCACTTACTATTTTGTAAGAACCTTTAGTATTTTACATGTTATTTTGTTTAGTTGTCTATTCAGAATTATGTGAGAATCGTGATCTCTATTTTTTTTTTCTTCAATCATGATTCTCCATTTATCTGTAATCGTGCATCTCTAATCTGTTTCCCAAGTCCACAATAGAGTTTCTCAAAACAAACTTGTTTTACTGGTAAAACGGCGGTCGGCGGCACAATGAACAATTCTGAAACTCGAAACAAAGACTAAGAAAACTTGGAAGTTGTTTTGGAGCAAGTTATTTTTCATATGCAAATTTAATGGATGTGCATGGGCAGAGATGAATTTGAATGAATGTGTCATGATGGAAGCAAGGACACCTGTCTAGGCAAACACAAGCTGACCATTGAGCATTAATATGAGCTAATACATCATATGTGGATATGTGTTCCCCTGCATTGTGTTCTTAATGAACATAAACATCTCTTTATTAATGCATTTCTTTGAATCTATTGAGTCACAGCATGTCTAGTTCTTTATCTCAACAAAGGATGTTTTTTTTTTTTGTATATTTTCTTTTAATAACGCATAACTAACTAATGCAATAACCTGCTATTTGACTCCTGCTTCTGATTTCTATAGAGTTGGCTGAACAATGAATGCGCTGAAAGTGAAAACCCTATAAAAATGATTAAAATAAACAATCTGTGTTTTTGGGTGTTGTCGAGGGCTGTTAGCTTGTTGCTATCCGGGTTCCTTATTGGACAAAATCTCAAGTATCTCTTTAAGATATGACATTTATTTTCACCTGCTAGTGAGATATGCTTACACCATAAAGCCTTGAAGGATTTCCCTGCTGAAAACATCAATATTTGTTGTGTTTTAGATGCTGATGTTTAACAGGCTTCTTATTTAAGCTTAACCAGAAATATGCTCATCCAACTAATGACAAATAAAGACCAAGACCAGATTATTACGGTAAATAGCAACCACAAGCTAGACCAACACTAAACCAGCATAAATCCGCCTGGACCAGCATGGAAATTCACTCTGGTCTACGCAGATCTTCACAACAGGTTTGTGGCTAGTGTTGACACTATCAAATGATCTGACGTAGAAACTGAAAATCAGGAGGACTTATGGTGTCTGAATGTATGAGAATTTTTACCGCAGCATTTTCAAGTGGAAACGACTCCTTATCCGAACTGGTGTGGAAGCCATTGTTTTCTTCTGGAGAGAAAAAAAGACAAAATAAGGGATGTTAATATAGATTCCCTTTTCTAGTTGTTTCTTCAAAAATGAGCTGTTGTGATTGCACTGTAAATTCCTTCTGATAAAACTGTTTGTAACATTGTTAAACTTTTGAGGATAAAAAATGAGGTGAAAGGTCTTTTATGGTCGAACAGATATGCTGAACTATCTAATACAAGAAACCCTTGTTTTGCTGCTGCTCACATTGAACCAAAAAAATATTAACATACTTGAACAGAAACACACACAAATACACACACACACACACCAGCGATACTAACACAGACGCATAATAAGGTGCAGACATTAATTTTTTTCTTAATTCCAGACACAAATACAAATTATGTTAAGGCCTACTTCTCCAAAAGAAGGGAAATAACCAAGACTTCTTATTGACGGGGAATATGTAGCACTTTCGACACATAGACATCTGAGTAGATATTTGAATATCTTTTTTTTTATGTAGAATTCTTGAAGAATCTTCTTAAAGGAGTAGTTCACTTTTAAAAAAAACTTTTGCTAATAATTTACTCACCCCCATGTCATCCAAGATGTCCATGTCTTTCTTTCTTCAGTCGAAAAGAAATTAAGGTTTTTGATGAAAACATTCCAGGATTTTTTCCATATAATGGACTTCAATGGGAACCAAACGTTTCAAGGTCCAAAAGACCTTTACTAAAAGGCTTTAAACGACAACACACGATGAATAAGGGTCTTATTAAGGACCCTTCAAGTCATGACTCAAATAAAGATTTGTTCATTTTGATGAACGAGTTTGAACATGAGAGTCACGAACGCTCATTACAGACCACTTGAGCTTATAAAACTTAAACTTGAACCGTTTGGTTCCCATTGAAGTCCATTATATGGAGAAAAATCCTGGAATGTTTTCATCAAAAACCTTAATTTCTTTTCGACTGAAGAAAGAAAGACATGGACATCTTGGATGACATGGGGGTGAGTAAATTATCAGCTAAAGTTTTTTATAAAAAGTGAACTACTCCATTAAGGTCTAGACTCCAGTCACAGGCTAAAAATGCATATTTGAGGCGTTTTAACTGAACGCAACTTTCACTGGTATATCTTAAATGTCAGTGCCGTTGTTTTGTCTCTGTTCAATGATAAAATGCTTCGTTTTTTTTTTTTTTTAAGCACTGTTGCTTTTATTTTGGAGGGCAAAACATTGCAATGGAAAGCAGTGATGATTTAGAGACGTACAATTAAACATTCTTCAAAAGCCTGATGGATCCAATTTTGACATGTATTTTCCAAAAAAATAAAATAAAATAGGTATGGATAAATTGCTTCAGTGCAGTTAGTGTTCATCTTAAAATAACACTAACAATATACATGTTACTTTATAAAAAAAAGTCATTTTTTTTTCACAGCTAAAAAAGGAGACTATCAATCAGGCGACAGAAGGCATGTGGATTGTGTTCAACAGTTTCATCCCTGATGATAATTTTTAAACGTTGATATCAAATATGACACAGTTCATTTAATATTTTCCCTTCTCAAATGAATCTCAAACACTAAAGACGCGAGTGTGAGTGAATGATGAGAGAATCGTCATGATTGTGTGAACCCCTCTCCTGTCCAACGTTTCTGACTCACAGAAAGGCAGCTTCAAAAAAAAAAAACCTCATAAAATCACGCAATAGTGTGTTATCAAACCAATGAATTTCAGATAAAAGATAACATGTGTGTATAGCCTATCCATGTGATAGTGGTCTTTCGCACAAGCCAGGGTTCATTTAAAAAGGATTCAACTAACATTTATTTCTGACTTTTGATTGACATTCACAATTATTTCACATTTACTCAAAGAAACGTACAATACATTGAAGGTACAGTATATACCCTGCATGTATGACTTTAGTTTTGCTAGCATTCTCTATTGTTTGAGCAACAGGATCTATAATGATATATAGCATATTTTAGGACAAAGACTGCTCTGTTCTGTTTCTAGAGATCATCCTAATCAAACCTGAACCAGCTATTAGAAACGATCATCATGAACACTTGACCGCTGTAAGTAAGCAATGCAACCTGGTGTGAAACTGGAAGTGAGAATGGTTGCTATGCGAACACAGGGAAATAAACAAAGCACATGAGAGATATATTGTGGTTAGTTTCACAGCATAAAACCATGATGTCAAAATGGTATTAGTAACAGTTATTTTGAGTGGAATTATTTTACGGTTTAAAAGGCAGTGAATTAGTGTGTGTGTGTGGACACTCAAGACAAAGTTGAAAGCATAAATGTTGCAGATGAGTTTATAGAGGCCTTTATCAGCTTATCAGGGAACTCCTCTAATGCTGCACATCATGCAGGACAAGTGAAGACAAACTGAAGTCAGCAACAATCAAACAAGTCTGACAAAGCAATATCCATTGTGTCTTGATTCATATCAAGTGGTTGCATTAGCAAATTTGAAGTCATTTGGATTAACTATCATTTGTTCTATGATTTTTTTACAAACACTGAAACTGTTCAAAGTCATCAAGCTACATAAAAAAAACTATTTTATATTTTATGGTACTCAATTCCCTATGTCTATATCCCAGATTATGGGGAATGTACTGTTCAGTGTGTCAGAATTTGGCTGTTGGCATGTGGACTACACTGATGACAAAGAGAATGGAAAGTACATGACCATTTTAAGGTAAAAACACAATCAAGGATTTTAAAGGGGACGTTCATGAGTATCTTCTGTTTAATAAAGTCAAAACTAAGCGTTTATGTCTGTCATTGTGTGCACACACACCCATAGGATGCTTTTCATCGTTATAGTATGTTTAGAGACTACAACTGTATATCAACATGTAGTCTTTTCTGGAGTTTACAAGAACAGTGCTAGAAAAATATTTTAAAGCTCTTTGCCGTCATTGACTATAGGAAAATGCAATGTAAATGTGACTACCTTTAGGCTTTAAATACATCCAGATGTTTATTTTACTTTATTTTAAACTAAACTTATAAAATGATTATAATAGTAGGCTATATCCTACTAAAGCTGTTGTCTCATATTACTGTCGCGCACAATTTTGACGGAACGGATGTGCGCATTTATATCTCTTCAGGGCATTAACTCTAAAAATAAACTATTTGAATAAGATAAATGAACATCACAAGTGGTAGCTAACTTCAGAATAAAGCACAAACTGTATGTTTTTATTCTTTTTTTAAACCATTCCTATGTGTGAGAGAGTAAAGGCGTGTTCCGGACACTTACCGCCGCTGGACCAAGCAGTTCGGCTCATTTCTATAAGCGTCTCATCACTCGACTTTCCCGGTCCGCGATTCATTTTCAATAAGTGTCCTGAAGTATTGTAAATATGAGTCTGATATAAATGACAGCTCTTTCCGCCAGGGCTCCGTGTGTGTGAGCCCACGCCCCGTGATCTGCCCGAGGAATGACCGTTCACTTCACGCTCAGTGGATCAGATTTGCCCACTCGGGTTTGTCTTGGGTCTCAGTCGGCGAAATTACGATTCCTACTATGGCAAGAGCTGCTCTCTTAATATGCATGAGCAATTTCTTCACTATTGGAGGGTTAACTAATAACGCTGGCATGGACTCATTCATATTCAAGGACAGGTCTTTGCATTGGGAGGCTGCAGAGCCACGTCATTGGGGTTTATTTCAAATGCATGAGTTAAACCTTCCACATAGTTGACAGTCGCTCACTCTCGAGCGTTCACTTCTTAATTTAAAGGGGAGTGAGAGCAAATGACCGCAATTTTGTCGACACACTACAAATACGTGTCCATAATTCTTAACCCTAGATTAAAATTAAAAAAAAAAACAAAAACAAACAGCCTTTCTGGGAAATTTCTTTAGCTTGAATGAATTCATAGTCTACTTCAAAGAAATTCAGTGGAATATTATAATTTATAATGCAGGTATGATTGTTTCATTAATAAAGTATTTGCTGACGGGCAAAAGTTTGTGAAGTTTAATGTTGGCTTGAGAAGCCTGAACCTCGAATCAAGATCTATTGACTGACTGTAAAAAAAAAATCTCATGAATTGTTATCACAACATTCTTTCTTTTGTCAAATCAACTTATATAATTTATTTAGTTCAGATAACATATTATTTTGAGTTTCTGATGATTAAAATGAATCTCCTTCAAACTCACTTTTTCCATTTCAATGAACTTAAAATTTTAAGGCAACCAGGTTACTTTTTTTTAGTTAAATCAACGATATTTTTTTACAGCATGATATTTCTGTGGGATTTCTGATACAGATGAAGTCGAACAGTACCAGTCTGTGCAGCATCTCTAATAGTGAAACAACTTCAGAAAGATGTTATACCTTTTCAGTTTGGGTGATTCTTCAACTATTGGCACTTTTATGTATTTGGTCATTAAAACATACATATCATTTTGGACAAGTTCCTCTTTCTTTGTTAAACTAACAATTAAACCAACGTTTTGCTACCTTTCTATTGTTACTTTTTTTCATACTTTTCAGGTGTCAAAATCACTGTTTTCTCCTTGTCACACACCCAGACTTTTTAACTTCAACAATGAAAATTGGAGTTTAAAAATATGGCTTATCTGGTTATTATACCTAAATTAGGCACTAGTAAAATAATTAAAATACATTATGGATTTAATGTGAGACCCCTAGCAATATTACTTTTTATGCAAAATATAGTTGTTGCACTGTATTGGTGTCATTTCCATCACAACACTAATGTCCCTTTGAAAAAAAAAAGATTGTGTGAATGATTGTCTATGGATATGTTCAGTGACATCAGAGCACACGATATGAAGGCAATTTAAATTTTCATCAAGAACAACAAAGATAAATCAAGGTAAATATTTTGCTTCTTGAATTACAACCATTCAAGTTCAAAATATGCATTTTCATGTCTTTTAAAAAAAGGGGGTTACACTTTATAGGTTAATGACATTGTGAATTAAGTTTAATGAGTGTGATGAGTTTAAAAATGTTTCTGATAAATATCTCTACTGTTCATATGCATTCACGTTAATTCGCTGTTAATTCATTTTAACACCCTGTCATTTCCGCCACCACCCTATCATTTCCATCACCACACACATTTTTTAAAAAAATATTTAAAAAGTTCACATCACATATTAAAAATGTATCTACAATTTATGAGATCATGCTCTTCTTATAAAAATTCAAGTTATTTATTTTCTAATAAGCTCTTGCCCAAACCAATATTACATTTCAGAGTGTGATAGCTGTACAGTTCAGCATTCGGTCCTAATGGCAGTTGACAAATGTTGAAGGGGTCATGAACCGGCTTTTTATTTTTATTTTTTTGTATTGTTGTCTGAGGTCAACTTATGACATTCGCTTGGTTTTTGCAATAAAAAACATCAAAATGAATAAGTAGTAAGCTATTTTCTACCCTAGTCTTGAGCCTAGCTGAAAAACGCTGGGTTTATATGGGCGTCTCCCATTGAAGACTTGAAGGTAAACGCCCACTGCTGTGAGTGGAGAACAGTTTTGCATATTATAATGAGTTTCACTCATCAGTGCATATTTATTGCTCGGTAGCTCCATCCGGTTTGTCATCACGAGGTAGGAATCTATGTTATTTAGCGATGCGTGTAATGTGCGAATCGGTGGGCGGGGCTACACCGGCCGTGTTGAAGTAGGCGTTGATCTTCTTATGCGAGGGTGGGGTTTTATCCTCTTCGACGTCATAGTTTCCCACTTTGAAAAATGAGTCGTTTGCTGAAAAGCTTTTATTGGACTAACAAGGACATTTTCAGTTCTGAAACTTACAGGATATTCTTAGATTATGATGACCTCTTAGATGTCAAAAGCTCAAGGAAAATTTGATTTCTTTGACAAAAATCTAAAATTTCAGTACTGGGACTTCAAAGTGCCCTCAGTCAGACACACACACACACACACACACACACATACTCACTGGGATGGGCAAAGAAAAACAGAGGAGATTAGTGTTTCAAATGTTCACATGTTCACGTTGTTATCTGAATATCAGTTATCTGGATAACACAGTAAAATGCATGTTTATAGCTGATAAGATTGTCTTTAATTCAAAGTTATTTCAACATGATACAGTCTCTTGGTGTGGCATTTGATAAACACAAGCACAAAATATACGTAAGGATTTTTTCCTGGTGGGTTTAAAGCTGATTTAATTTCAGTATATCAAACGAATCGCATCATGTGATCATAAACAGCGAAGTTGCTTGCAGTTTCCATTGCACGTTTCCTCTGATAACAACAGACGAAGACTCTTCATGAAGGAATAAGCTTGAGATTACCCAAAGATAAGCGTTCACTTCCTATCCTTTATGGAACGTGCCAATTATATATTCTCAGACATTTCAGAACGATTGAGCAACAAAATTTGCCATTAGGAACAACTCAGTAATGTACTGTAACGCATTGCGTCACATGTAACTAACATTCTCTAAAATTATCTCAGCATTATCTCAGCATAAGTTTGCCTCCTGAACACACACAATTTTTTGTTGGAAAAAAAAAAAAAAAAAAAAAAAGAACTCCTTAATCTTGTATTTGGGTAAAAAATGGGCACCCATAGAAATGAATGGTAAAAACTGTAATTTAGAGCATTTCTAAAATGAGCCAAAATAAGACACCAGGTGACAGCAAAGTCACTTCATCTTTAGGTTTTAGCTCTAAGAACTTATTGGAATGATATTTTAATGTAGTTAAAATAAATAAATAAAATAATACATACAAATAAGCATAATTTACATAGAAAATATGGTACTTTTTGAAGTAAATACATTCAAAAATAGAAAATACCCCCAAAATAATATTTAAAAAAAAACCCACCATAAATGGATAGACAAAACTTTATCGAAGACAGTGATATAACGTTTATAATAAATAAAAATTAAGATCACACCTGAGTCCTCTGTGCCCACATTCGTCCACAATTACAGGATTAAGGGCTATAAAGTGAATACGGTTTGAGAGCTACAAATTATAATATCACACACACATACACACATGTTTACCCATACAGAACAGAGAGAGAAAAGGCTGTTTCCAAGAATCCTCCTCATCTTGCTGGCTTGTTCCAGCCCCACCAGGAGTGTAACTAAAGGAGCCTGTGTAGCCCAATATAGACTCTTCTGGCCAGGGCCACCCTTCAAGTGGTCACCACGGCCCTTCACTCTAGCAATTACACATGGAGTTCTGTCTGGGTGTGGCAGCGGGACAGAAACATAGCTGCCTATTTCCCAAACCTTCAACTCTGCAATCTGGGTTTCATAACTCCACAGCCATATGTGAAGGTGGCAGACGCATGGGGCTTATGGGCGGACCGAAGTAATAATATAGGACAAAAGTGTTTAATCTGGGTTATAAGATTATAGAGGAGATTCAGATTTCTATCATTTGAACTCACATATAGAATGAATTTAAAGTCAAACTGTGTGAGTTTTTGTGAAGTTGATTGGAACAAAATATAAAAAGATAGTACCAAAAAATCAGTCACCCCTGCATGTATTGTGTTGTTCTAAAAATGAATACACATTTTTTTTTTTTTTCATTATTCAATGTCTGGAAACATGGCAAAGCATTCTTTTTTTTGTTATTTTGACCAATTGTAATTTTCTTCACAAATGCTCTGTATGACAATATTTTTTATTTTAATATACTTTGTAATATAACGAAAAATAACATGTAATTTAAACCCATAACTATATTAAACATTTCCCAGAGGTCTTTAAAGGGTTAGTTCACCCAAAAATTATGTCATTAATGACTCTCCCTCATGTCGTCCCAAGCCCTCCGTTCATCTTCAGAACACAGTTTAAGATATTTTAGATTTAGTCTGACAGTTTTCTGTCCCTCTAATATTGTAAATGTGTGTACGGTATACTTGTCCATGTCCAGAAAGGAAATAAAGACATCCTCAAAGTAGTCCATGTGACATCAGTGGGTTAGTTACAATGTTTTGAAGCATCGAAAATACATGTTGGTCCAAAAATAACAAAAACTCAGACTTTATTCAGCATTGTATTGTCTTGTGTATTGTGTGTGGAGCGGCTGAGCAGGTTACAGGTTGCAGGTTTGGTTACAGTCTGAGGGAGAAGCACGCTGTACAAAACCATCTTCACAAACATGTCTAAGGATTTCCACACATGGGAAGACTTGCATTTTTGCCCAGCCATATTTATTTGAACCCAAATACACGGACGCACCAGACACACGTCAGCCGCGTCTTACGTCAGGAGCGTCACTGAACGCGGATCCACAACAGAACCGAAGACAATACAATGCTGAATAAAGTCGTAGTTTTTGTTATTTTTGGACCCAAATGTATTTTCGATGCTTCAAAACATTGTAACTAACCCACTGATGTCACGTGGACTACTTTGCTGATGCTACGTTGCTGCTTTGCTGATTTTGCAATATAAATTCTCGGTATTGCATTGGACTCTACGATCGGCGGAAGTTATCGAGCATCCTTAATCCTTCACCGGAAATACCGCCGTGCATAGAGCCCATGGAGGGACAGAAA